ATTGAACTCTAGTTTAATATTGGATGGCTTTCCTCTCCTATGAATACATGGCCAACTAAACGTACTGTCACTGGTAGAGCACAAAGATCAAAATGCATTTTATTTTTGAAAACGTATAGGCGCTGAACACATTTTATTTCTTAATATGTTACAAAAGCAACACTGCTGCCAATCAAATCTGATCAAACCACACCAAACGAGGTCCCTTAGGAGCTGATCAATCGTGTTTGAGGTATACACTGTTAATTGATACCCTTTTTAATGGTTGCTATTTGGACACAATCAATACGATTCTATATATTTTTTGTTGCAATTTCTGATAAATAGTTGGGTGGAAAAAGAGCTAGCACAGGTTTTTCCTCTGCATGTTTAAGACAAACTGGAACATGCATGTCCAACTGCATTGAGAAGAAGATTTGATAATCAGTGATGCATGAGCAATTCGATAACTAGGATCCAGTACAAACTGTTTTTAGTCCCAGCTCTGGTTACAACTCTTCGAATAAAAGTATCCTTGACACAATTTGTTTGTTTCAAGAACGACACGATGACAAAATTATTTTGTGTCAAGGATGTGTTGTACAAAGCAAATATTTTCTTTTTGGAAAAATCCTCAAATATCAATAGCATTATTGAAATGCTGAGAGCGTTTGAAGAGACTAGTGAGCATGGCATGCCCTTTTGAGATTGGAAAAATGTTCCCTGACAAACAAAGTATTAACAAGCAAAATGTACTAATGTACGGTGACACTGTGGCTCAGGAGGTAGAGCCGCAGCTGCCACCATTAAAGGTCACCTATTATGCAAAATCCACATTTTCATATATTTTATACATCAACATGTGTCCCCTCTGTGTGAAGAGATTCTGAAAGTTTCAGGAAAAAAGATTCGCTCTTTTTTTGTCCTGATCCATTTATATAACAAAATCTGTCTTTTTGGCTTGTGTAAGCACCCCCCCCCCCCCCCCCTTATCACCTGAATCTCCTCCTAGAGCACCATTGTGTTCTTTTCAATCAAATTTCTCTCAGAGGGGCGTGGGGAGTGGCTCCTTATTTTCATCTAAAGGCCCTGACACACCAAAGAACACGTCCCGACGGACCCGATTGTTGCGTCGCCTCACGTCTCTGGCGTCTTGGACAAAAAGTCGCACTGGAACACGCCGCAAAGACTTTAGCCGACGGCCAAGTAGCATGTACGTGCGCACTGCGCATCCGTGAGTGGCAATAACTGTCATGGCCATTTCTACTGATCATAATTCCATTGTTGAGGTCTACTAGAATAGATTTATATTCTGCCATGTTCCAAACTCACATTGGTTTCTCATACAGCATCTCTGTATAGTATGTGTATTAACTCTCTGTCCTACACGCCTTGTTGGAGCTCCTGCCCCCCCCTCCCTGTGATCCCACTGTGCTCTGATTGGTCAGCTCTCCCACTCTGTTCTGATGAGTCCACCACCGTTACAGCGGAACATCAGTGATTATGTGTTACAATGGCATTAGTTAGCAACCAGAAAATGACCCCAGTAAGGACAAACAAATGAGAATGCTGCGTGGGGTCTGGGTGCCATGTTGGCGGGGCGTTGCGCGGCTAACTGCTGCGGACAGTGTGAGCTGGGTTAATTTCCTGCTTGCTGCGTGGGATATTGGGTCCATTTGGGCACGTCCCTGTACCCAGGCACCACCGTTACAGCGGAACATCAGTGATTATGTGTTACAATGGCATTTGTTAGCAACCAGGAAATGACACCAGTAATGACAAACAGATGTGAATGCTGCGTTAGGGCTGCTCGATTATGGCAAAAATCATAATCTCGATTATTTGGGTCAATAATTGATATCACGATACAGGGTGTACCTTTGAGGTTTGTGACTCTGCAGACCGTTTACATGCATAAAAACCTTCACAACACACAAGGGGACGGGTAATAACCGGAAAAGCATGACATGGGACCTTTAATTCAAAAGAGGCAACCGGAAGACAGAATATGTGAAATATACAAACAACAAATAGCGTTCATTCCATTTTCACTCTCGTCCATCGAAGACTGTTTCACAGACTGTTTCACATAACCACTTGTCGAAAACATGTTTAGTGCGGTCCTGGAAAATTAAAAATTAAAAATAATAGCCGTCTGTCAGTGCCTTCTTCACTTCCGTTTCGCTTCTCATGCACTGATTCGCTAAGCTGAACAGCCAATCAGAGTGATTTATTTTGCCGACAGCCTTTTGCCGACAGCCTCCCGATTCAGTGGAAGGTGTCGGCACGGCCGGAAAGACACGACGGTGCTGGACAAACCAATCTGAGTAGGGCGACAGGACGCTCATCGACGGCCAGACATCTATCGACGGCCGAAATCGGCCCGGTGTGTCCGGGCCTCAAAGTAACAGACAGAGAATCAGCACTTTTGAAACAGGGCTGAAAAAGAGGGGTTTATGGGATGCTACGATGCATCTGTTTGGTATTTCAAGCCAACCATTTCAGAGACATGTTTTATATATATCTGAGACCTATAATATAAAGGTGAAAAACAGTATAATAGGGGACCTTTAGGAGAGAGTGGTTAGATCCCCAGACCCTGATGTGTTTATGGGCAAGATATTTAACCCCACATGTCTCCCGATGGATCATCAGTGTGTGAATGTTTGGTATGACAGCCTCCGCCTCTGTTTGTATATATAAAAACTGCTTTGAGGGTTTGCAAAGACTGGTAAAGCGCTTTATAAAAGTAGTCTGTTCCATCCTAGCCTATATTTCTAATCAGAAGACATGCGGAAAACACACGGTAAGCTTATTCCTTTCTAAAGAGTTGAACTGCAGCAAGATAACAATCCCATTGCGTCGGTTATCTTCACAATCACTCTAGCTCCCACTTCACATTTAATCCCTAAATGGGATTCATTCATTCATTCATTAGTTTCATTCACAGCACAGCAGATACTGGCCTAGAATGCTGGCTCACAGCGTCACTCGCCTAACCTGTTTTTCTCCAGTGTAAACAAGCCTCTGGACTAAACGGTGAGTGGCAGATATAATGGTTTCCTCATCACTGCACGAGCCCACTGTCATTACGCAGCTCCTCCTCCACGGGAAGACACATAGCGACATCTGATAAAGTGTTGTTTGGCTGCCTGTCGAGTTCACTCGCAATCAGATGAAATGCCCTCTTTTAGTCAGGTTTGTGAGCAACATCAAGAACTTTGCTTCATCCGCCATAAATATCCTTAGATATCCCACGCATACAGTATGTGCACTCGCAGCCAGACAGTTGGCATGCTCTGTCAGGAACTTGTCAGGATAAGGAGAGAGTGAAAAAAAACACTTTGAAACCAAATGTTAATTTAGTAACTGCAGGGCTGTCTCTGTAACTACTGCTGAATATTAGACTGAACGCCTAATTGTATTTTATTCCAACTGCACGCTGCCAAAAGCTTAATTATTTTCGTCTTACTGTGCAGTCCCGGAAATAATCTACATGGGAACCGACTAAAATATGCCCATACTTCAAGCACATCTTCAACATTCAAAACATGGCCAAAATTCATATTTCCAAGCTAATCTGTTTCATGCATAACAATCTCTGCAGTGAAACCAAACAGTTCATAAATCATTGAGGTGAGTGAGAGAATTGGTTACAAAAAAGGGGAAAAAGCAAACTGACGGAGCTCATTATAAAAGATGGATGGATGAAAGGGGAGATAAATCCAGGAGCCAAGAACAGGACGAACGTGATATATTGGGGAACACACAGCTCATATCCATTGATACCTCCAATGTGCAATGGTGGATGTTCTTTTGATGCCAAGCACCTATTGGAGCCCAGACAGTATTTCTTTGTTCATTCATCCATCTACCCAATCATTGACTCAAAAGTAAGAGACTTGAGAATTGAATCTGCCTCTCATTGGCTCCCGTACTAAATGGAAAGTACTCCGGTTTACACCGATGACTTCAAGCAGAAATCCTCTCTTTTATTCACCACGGATCCTTTTGGGAAAGGTGACGTCTCAATCACTGGCCCGACTTTGGCTTTATAAAAAAGTCCCTGTCAATCTCCCTGCACTGATTTAAGGCCAAAGAGTGGCATCTGAGCCCGAGCAACCCATGCTACATTATTCAGCACTGCTCCCAAGCCTGTCTCATTAAGGATCCTGGCTATGGTCCATGCCTCTGTGTATGAGGCTTTCAGTGACAGATCTGTTGCCAGCTCAGTACAAACAGGCACAGGCCCAGTGTAAACCCCACGAAGATCCCGCTTCGTCCCCTTCCAAACCTGGCAAAAGCAAGACTCCAGTGTGACAAGCAACAGCCAAACAGAAAACATGAACTCAACTCCAAGTCACCAGTGTTTTGCCCTCCAGATGATAGCAAGTCGGAAAGGTAGGATTTGTTTTCTGACCTGGAAAAAAGTTGTCTTTTCTCGGTGGGTGGGAAAAGTTTTCTCCAACTCACTGATACGCATGATGTCGTATGCACATGGCATCATGAGTGAACACATTTTTTTTTTTCCTAATGACACCCAAGTTCCAACATGGCATGTTTTGAAATGCTACATTAGTTTGTTCAATTACACTTTCCGGTTCTTCCTAACAGTTACACTCTACCACAGGGGTCCAATCTCCCCCCCCCCCCCCCACCAACCTCTCTGCTGCCGACATTAATGACGCGTCGTTTTACACTTTCACCGCAACCATAGGATAATAATCATCACTAGCCCCGAAGTTAAAGTTTGTCGCTCTGGTTAAAAAATCCATCCAGGCATTCCGCAGCCATAGCCCGACCTCATGGATGGATTTAATTCAACGAATTGAAACTGCCGACCAGAGCCGAAAAGATTTAGCAATCAAAGAAAAATAAAGAATAAAATCTGCATGCAGCTGCACAGTTTGCCACGTTTGACTGACCCTAGTGCGAGAGCGAGGCTATTTGCCTTCCTGCATCCAAGTGAGAATTTCATTTAGCGAGTGCGACACGAGGTGCGGAGACGCAAGTGACCTGCGCCAAGTGAGGGGCAGGTGACGGATCACGGTCATGCACAGGAAAGTGTTGATGTGTACTAAACCCGGGCCACTCGCTGCATCCTGTTTGAGCACACACATACAACTTTGTTTAATAAGCAAGGTGCATGTATGTGTTAGTACATCCATCCCCTCTGCTGTGGTGCGAGCTGTAAGTGTGATTGAGTGGCACTGATTCTTCACGGACACATTTATTGTATATGGTATGACCAGATTTGTATTTAACTTAATTAGTACACTTTCGAGTAAGCATGCACCCCACGCATAGTATAAGAATCTTACACCTTGTCCATCACTGTCCTTAAATTGCATTGGCTAAAATCTGGTTCCACTCCTTTAGGCAAACAAAATCAGCAATCGTTGCTACTTTTTATAAAGGTCCGCCTATTTATGCTGTTTTTCATCAAGCATATTATAGGTCATCAGATATCATACAGAAACATGTCTCTGAAGTGTTTTGGCTCCAAACACTAAACAGATCATTGTAGCATCGCCATCATCCCTCTGTTTCCAGCCTGGTTTTCCTAATCGTGCTGATTCTCTGTCTGTTACTATTCCAAAAAACAACACAATGGGTGTTCTAGGAGGAGATTCAGGTGATAACTGGGGGGGGGGGGGTTAACCTTGGTTGGTAATTGGCTAATGTTGCCCAAGCCAAAACTGTTATTGACATTATAAAGTGGCCAAAATCTGATCAGCTCATTTTCAGACAGGTTTTTATATAAATGGACTCAGGACAAAGAGAGAGAATCTTTTTTCACTGAAACTTCAGAATCTCTTTACCCCACAGAGGGGACACATGTTTATGTTAAAAGACATGACAAAGTGGACTTTGGACCTTTCAAAAACTTGAGCTTCTTATGATTAATTCCTGACATGCCAAAATACTTACAGCACAAATCTCAGCTACTGTGTAATTCATCTTCTAC